GTCATTTTTACCATGAAGACAAATCCAGAGGTCAAATTTTTTTTTTTCACATTAAAGTATATTACATAAGCTTTAATTTAAGATATATTTAAAAGTGTCAGTATTTCCGGAATACTTTCAAAAATTAAATTGAAAATATCGTAGTAACAATACGCATGTTTAAAGTTTTGACCCCCCTTGTTAAAGGGGTATGATCCGATTTACAAAAAAAGCGTGCCAGATGAAAGGGGTATATCAATATTTATTATAAAAAAATAATAATATAGATCCATACATTTTTCCAAAAGTTATATAAAATATAAATTAAATAATATAACATATAAAATCGAGATTTTTTTCACGGAAATCGTACGTTTTTCTTTAACTTTGATGTCCGTTTTCACCACGAAGACAAGTCCAGAGGTCAAATTTTTTTTTTTCAAATTAAAGTATATTACATAAGCTTTAATTTAAGATATATATAAAAGTGTCAGTCTTTCCGGAACATTTTCAAAAGTTAAGTTGAAAAAGTTCTACTTTCTATACGCATTTTAAAAGGTTTGCACCCCCCCTGTATAAAGGGAAATGGTCCGATTTTAAAAAAAAGTATGTCGAATGAAAGAAGTATATATAAAGTATTTATCATTAAAGAATAAAGTTGATTCATGCATTTTTTAAAAAGTTATAGCAACATAATGTTAAAAAATGTAAAATATAATATCAAGAATTTTTTCACAAAAATAGCATATTTTTGCATACGGTAGTCATTTTCACCATGAAGACAAGTCCAGAGGTCAAATTTTTTTTTTTCAAATTAAAGTATATTACATTAGCTTTAATTTAAGGTATATATAAAATTGTCAGTCTTTCCGGAACATTTTCAAAAGTTAAGTTGAAAAAGTTAATTTTTTGTAAAAAAGTTACCATTTTGAAACCCCATCCTTTGGGCTGTTAAAGGGTCAAATGTTCACAAAAATATATAAAATGATAGGTAATTATCTAAGGTATCTATAAAAAAAAAAATTATATTGATTCGGTCATTTTTAAAAAAGTTATGGCAATTTTAAGTAAAAAAAATTGAAAAAATATCGAAAATTAGCGATTTTTAAATTTGTAATTTTTTGGGGGATTTCCCCCGTTTACGGGGAACGAGGGAATTTTTTTCAATTTTTGAGGGTAATGTCTTCGACTAGATACGATTTGTGATCTTTTGACATATTGTTCATCAAAATCGGTCCAGCGAGAGCTGAGATTGAGCGTTCACAGACACAAAAAAAAAAATAAAAAAAAAAAAAAAAAAATAAAAAAACACATCATAGTAAAATTAATACCTTCTCAGCTTCGCATCGAAGCTAAAACACATCATAGTAAAATTAATACCTTCTCAGCTTCGCATCGAAGCTAAAAATAAGAAAGCATGATCGTATATATGTGCCAGATGAATATATTAAAATAGTGAATGAATGCAGTAAAAAGTTCAAAGTAATAAAGTTTTAGACGCATTAAGTTTACGACTTTAAAAAATGGTGGCCATCATACTACAAAAAGACATGTTTACTGTTGAGACATTTGGAAAAAAAGTTCCAAAGGACCAAAAGCAATTCTTTATCCCATCTACATACATGAGTTTCGAATATAATACAAAATATAAGGTATTGTATTCACACATAATTTTATCGATGGGTTATCAAAACACACACTTAAACTATTAAAATTAACAACAAATATTAATATAGCATTGCCAACAGCCAAGGTGTATAATAATAAAGTGCCAATTAACCCCCAAAAAATTGAAAACTTAAGACAAGTTAAAGATAGTATAATCGAGGAGCATAGGTTATTTTATGAAGAAATATATAAATGGCTAACTGCTGATGAACAAAATATAGAAGCTGAAAATGTAGAACTTGATGGGGAATATAATTACGTATCATGGCAATTTTCAAAATATTATGTATTAACGTATTTTTTATTTTTGTTAAGTTTTAATCAGTTTTTTTTAATAATTTAATGTTAGTTTACATTTTTTTATTGTATTTTGATTTTTATCAAGTTTTATTAAAAAATGCTCTTGTATTGTAACATTTTGTCAAGTNTGATTTTTATCAAGTTTTATTAAAAAATGCTCTTGTATTGTAACATTTTGTCAAGTAAAAAAAAATTAAGTTTTTGTTGTTTAAGAAAAAAGAAATATTTTATTTTTTGTAAAATAATATGTATTATGAAATATGCAATGGTTTATTTTATATTGTGTTTTGATAAGTTTCAATCAGTTGTTTTAAAATTTTGTTACTTTTTTTAAAGTTAAAAAAGTTAAGTTTTGTTTATTTAAAATAAAAATCATTTTATTTAAAATAAAAATTATTTCAGCTACTGTAAAAATATTATTAACATAACTGTGTTTATCTATTTTATTTTATTTCTTGACTTAGATTGTATATTATAAATTTCTATTTACTGCAAAAACAACATAAGTCAAATATGTTTTATCTGACTTTTATGCATTTTGGTAAAAATTAGACTATTTAAAACTATGGATTATGAATATCAGAGACCTTAAAAATAAATTTGTAAATAGGTGTAAGTGAAAAAAAGTCGAATTTCTGGAGTAATTGAGGTTTTTTTGGTTCTTGAAAAATTTGAATTTAATGATTTATGTCGTTTTTGAAATGACCGATTCAAATGTAATAGCTTCTCAGTTTCTCATTAAAGCTACAATTAATAAAAATTAAATAATGCATCTTTGCCTGAGAGGTGACATAACCTTTTAACATTCCCTTAAATACGCCACTGAATACGAATAATAATAAATTTTAATTAAATTAATTAAAATTAATAAAAAACATGCAAGTTATTATTTTACATAAGCAAATTAATCCACGGCGCCTTAACCAGTATTTGAGAAAATATTTTAGTTTCATTGAGTAACATTTATAGATGCCTAAGCCTTTACTTATACCACGTGCAAACACAATTAATTATTATTATTTCTTACGGGCGATTTGGGATCACAGAGCTCAGCTCCTAAAAGTCGAATCGAATAAAATAAATATACTTAAATTATATAAGTAGGTTAAGCTAGAGCTGGTCCACCAAAGATTAATAAAAAAATGTGTACAGAACCTGTTCAAGGAAGGTGTCATAACCCCTGACGTCCCTCCCACCACACCATATATACGCAACTATTTAACAGTCATTGCTGTAGATAATTACTTTGAGATTGCTAAAATTTGAAGAATTAAAAGTCAATGGGGCGAAAGTGGTTTCAATCTCCTTCTTTGGGTTTTATATGTTTATATTACTTTTTGTTTTTAATTTGAATGATTATTTTGATAAAATAAATTGAAAAAATTCAATTTTGATAAGAATATTGGTTACTATGATTTGACGTTGGACAGCATAGTTATCATAGATTAATCCCATTTTATATGATAAAATCATAAACTTATAAATCATATATGAGATTATTCGATTAATAATACTGTACTATTCTGATAATGAATGTACAAACTTATATACTTATAGCCGTCCTGAAAATAATACATAATTTATCAAATATTCCTTGATAAAATATACAAAATACATTGCTATGTGCAAATGCAAAATTGTATCCTAATGTAAACTCTTCGTAGACATAAAAAAAATAAGTTCAAAACGAAAAAAATACATTATAACAGTAAGCTAATTATAAAGCTAAAGTTTAAACAATGTATATATATATATATATAACAATAAACTTGATTAAATATTTCAACAAATTTTTTATCATAAACATATTTGAAAGAAATCGACAGAAAGTATCTGTATACTGTATAAACTAAACATAATATATAAAAAGAACAAACATAATATAATTAGTAATTTAAAAATTCGATAAATTTAAATCAATGAAAGATTTTATCTAATTACAACCAAATGTCGGTGATTCTAAAATAAGAATTTAAATTACTCATTAATAATCAAATCATCAGAAAAATCAAATAGCAGTTACTAGACGATCGCTATCTACATCTATCAGTTTTGGTATTTTAGTCAGCATAATACTAGAAAAATTTATTTTCTTAGTTTATCAACCAGAGTCGATTTGGGAGATCTTTAACGTCTCAAGAGAGAAATATATATATATCCAGTACCATATCTATGACACAATTAAAATTGAAGAATTGCCATACATTTGGAAAATAAAAATTATACATAAGAAAAATCAAACTTCCCTTCCGAGTTTTTTTGAAAACACACTCCTGCTGAGATAATAATTAAATTCGGTGGATTTAGAAGCGCACCCTTTTTACTACTCGAACTTTACTATTTGGATAAATATTTGTACATTTATATAACTCATATTTATAAATAACCTGAAAAATCCTTGATACAAAGTTAAATTCACTTGACAGTAAAACTTACAAAATATGTAACATTATACAAATAACACATACATTCACCATATTATTAAAAAAACATTAATGTATATGTAAAAAATGGTGAGTGGTTTCTAGTTTAAAAATTAAAGGTGAACGTGTGTTTTTAAGTAAACTGGATTTCTACGGGAATTTCTACGTAAATGAACTTACGGTTAGATAATTAACAATAATACAAGCGATTTTACGGGCAAAAATATTTTGGGGATTGTATGTGTGGATCGGTTAATCCATTTCAATTGGTAATTCTGCTTGTCACAGTGCAGGAGCCGATTGCATTACCACCAGAGGATCAACAATGTGAGTGGTCTTCCGTGTTCATAGACGAAAGGCACTCAATTCGTTCATGTATTACTTGACTTGCATTTACCGGCGGCCGCCTTAAGAACTGGTATTAGCAGTGGATTAGGTCAACGAACGAAATTATTTAATTACTATTGCAATGTGTTTTTCGCACATGTCGATTAGGTATGAAAGTTAAGTCATAGTAACATTCTCCCTCTTAACTTTTGAAGGCAGCATCATTATCATGTGCAACAGAAGTGTCGGTAAGCGGATTGGAGGAGGATACACAGACGGCGGCAGCTTACCGTATCTTTGCGTTATTGTTACACGGGACTGTCACAACGTTTTGCCGTAACAGTTTCCCTTTCACTGATCGCCACAGACTCCGTTTGTTTATTATACCTAAACACCGCCGCACCGATTACATTACACACGTTGATCAAACTCGAAGCTTCATGAATGTGCAGACATCCGATACGACATAGCCTTCCCGTTAAGCTCAAAAAAATTTATCAGCATTCATTTTCGAGACTCGACATCAACAGTCGTTAATTACTGAATTTATCGAACAACATCGTTGCCATTTTTAACTCGTCGTAGGGTGAGTATGATTTTTTAGCGTAATTTAAAATTGTCTGTAATAATAATTACCGTAATTTAAACATACTTATTGTAAAGTAAAATTTCATCGATAAAAAAAAATCAACTTATTACATTTTTTAATGTTATATCTGTTGAAAACTATCGATTCAATTATATGTCCACCAAACAGACAGCCTTGGTAAAAAATACTCAAGTTTATAAATATTTATTTTCATATTTGTTTTTGTTTAAACTGAATATAAAAAGAAAGAATTTTTTTTTAGGTAATTCTGTTGAAGGTTTGTGTACGCACATTAATTATGAAAATTGCTAAAAGAATTAATAATGTTTTTAGTTAAACTTGAGTTCTATTGTTAAACACATCATTAATAGGTTTACATCCAAAAATTTAAGAAAATTATGTGTATTTATACATATATAAAATTGAATGATGGGAAAATCAATTTAGCCTCTGCAAATTTTTCATAAATTTATATTGTTGTCATTGTTCATCATCAGTATAAATGTTCATAAAAACAATTTTTTTACGAGTATGTTTTTTGTTGCTGGTTTTTAATGAAACGCTTTAACGTCATAGTATCATTTTTTAAATAAATATGTACACACTCAATTAAATGTTAATTATACAAAAATAAAAATTATATCTATTGTATTTTCAAATTAATAAAACATATAAAAATTCAAATAAAAAAAGGAAATTGCTGACTGCAACTTATTTGCCAACAATAACCGTGAAATGAATCACATTAGTCATAAGTTATCTAATAGAAGCGCCTCTATACAGTTTCATTATCATACATTCTAACTAAAAATAAAATATTTAAATCCATTAATAGTAAATTATTGAAAATATTTATTAAAAGTAATAAAAAATAAAAAAATTTGTACACAGAAAAGACTAAATATCTCGACAAAATAGATTTTATCCAGGTAAGACTTTTTTTCAGTGTTTAATTTCTTAATATTTTGAAAGGTTTTATTAATTGCCAGTATATAAATACAAAATTGTATATAATCTTCATAATGCGTATTACTGTACACAATTTTATTTTTGGTCTTCAATGTTTATGAATCATTTGTTTTGGTAAAAGTAACGATTTAAGTCATCAATCGTCACACGTCCTTGACACTAGGAAGGCAATCTAGGAAACATTTTTATTATTAAGTGTTTGATAAGATTAATAGATAGAATAATAATTGATTGGTTTTAATATTATTTAGTAGCCAATTGATATTGTAATAATATTTCAGTACATCTAATGATTCACACTACGGGCGATTCCCTAATTTAACTTGAAATCTTGACAGTTTTGTGGATTGGTGTCGAGGTCTCTATAACTTTTTGAACAATTGGCTTATTATGATTTTTATAGTTTTGTTTTGTGTATCGGCATATTTTCTTTACTCAAGGATTATAAAAGATCCATTGATTCTTGTTCTATTAATGAAGATAAAACTTTTTAATTTTGATAGATGTTGCGCATGTTAAAAATCTCCGAAGGGCACAAAAAAGTTACAGTAATTGGCTTCAAACGGTTTGCTTTATAAGATAATATAATTAGTCACTTATTAACAGAATAATTAAATCGAGTCTGCAAAAAAATGAACTATTGTCATCAGATGATTGAGTCATTTGGTCCAGAGAATGAGTAACTTTAATGGCCAATATTCATTACCAATGTATTAATTTAAGAAATACAACTCTCTTAATGTTTTATAACTTTATCTCAGCATTAAATCACACTACAGCCTTAAAATTGTAGTTCTAAGATAAAATATACACGTTATTAATAATTTCGAATATGACAACTGCAGCTTACGGTAATAATCACGCGTATTTTTTTTTTTTAACCTTGTAAGTTTCATCCTTCATAATCAGGGCTATAGTCTATCTACCTACCAACTATTTTAAATGAAAATTTATAAGTTAAATGATTATCTGATAGTTTTATTTTCAAAATTATTTAAAAGAGCTTTACTAATTCAACAATTTGTAAATAAAAACACAACTAGTTATTTTTCATAACTTATATTTTAATTTAGAAAAAATGTATGCATAAAAATACATTTTGTAGATAAGGTTATTTTATTGTAGTCAAATTTTTAAAGAATATTAAATACTTTTAACATTTGTCGTTACTTTGTGTAAAAAATCGTATGTAAACTAAATGAAATATCTATGAATCCAATTTAAAAAAAAAATAGTAACAATTTATCTATATTTTCAGGTATGAAGGTACAAAATAAATGAGCACATATCATATACGTGTTTCAATTGAATATAAAATGCCTTTATCCGAAGCTCGGAGATGTCTAGTCATCAAATTTACTTTATTTCTATTATTAGCAACTCTTTCTGCTGGACAGTCAGTGGATAATAATACAGTGTCTGGCCAAATTATAGCTAATGGAGGTGGTGCTGCGGAATTCCGTAAGTAAATTTTACAAGTGCATTTTTGTATTATTATATAAAACTTTATCATAATAAACATTTTGGGTTCAAACATAAACGTTTCACAATAAAAAGAATAATAAAAAGAAAATTTTAATTATTAAAAAGATTAAAAAAAAAAAAATTGGTAAAAATCTACCTAAATAATTTTTTTTTGGGACTGAATAAATGAAGTGTGCACTGTTTATTCATATAACTAACGTTATAATTAATGTTTCGGTAAGTAATTATCTGACTGTTCACAAAAAAAAAAAAATAAAATAAAATAAAAACATAACAATAAGAATTTTTCCTATTTTTTTGATTTGTAATGGAAACGGGCTAATTATTAAGTATGTTTTATTTTAAATTGAAATAGCATTATACATATTACTGTATGATTTCATAGATAATATATTAAATATTTCTAATATTCTGTGAAAATATTGATTATACCTTATCAATATCAAACATTTATTTACCTTTTTATGTTTTTATGTTGATAGTAAAATTAAGTAGACATTTTGATTTTTATTTTTGGGACCAAAGATTTTATGAGATATTTTTGATACTAAATATTTAGTCAATAGGCCATACTATTTCATTCTTTATTTTGAAATCACAAAAATAATTGTGTTTTTGTGTGATAATGTTGTATATGGAAAATTTCCATATGAGTCTAGTTATAATATCACGACGAAAATTTTTTTTAATAAATTTAATATAATTTACTACACTTATAATGGAAAATTACAGAACTCAATGATAGAAAATGTCTATAAATAAATATAAAAATGTCACAACTAAGATATTTTTCAATGGGTATAATAAAATTACATAAAATGTATAATAAAAATTGATCACTTGTGGCTAATTAATTTTACATAAAATGACTTCATTTTTTAGTTATAAAATATTAACTTATAAGGCGATTAATATCATAATATTTCATAGTAAGAATTCCGTTGGTATTTTTTAAAATATTATATTAAAAATAAGAATACTATAATAACTTATCCCACCTTGGGGCAAGTTGTTACATTTTAGCTTGTTTAAGTTATTTTATGTTGCTTGTTTAATATATTTTTTGATATCTAAAATATTACCAAATTTATTGAATAATTTATTATTTTATGATCCCTTTGAATTTATTGATAAATATTAAAATATATAAATTCTAACAACTAACTCTTACGTTGTTTAGTAGTAATGACTTTTTTTATTTATCAATACTATTATTTGAATTTGTCTTTACAAAATTAAAACAATTACCACATTAAAATTTCCTTTCGCTCTTTTAAAAGTTATTATTTTAATCTCTACATAAGTATAACGTAATAAAAGAGTGTAAATAATGTTTATTTGTACAAAATTTACATTAAATTGCGTTTATAATTTTTAGCTTAACTATCATAATTAGGTATCGTAACTACAAAATATAGTTCTAATTAATTTTATCAAGTGTAATTATAATAATTAAAATGAATTTTTAATGTTAATGTATAATATATTACACAATTATAGTATTATTTATTATTTTATATGAATATTTTTAATGATAATTGTTTTATAATTTCTTGTCTTTAATTACACAACAATTATTTTATTCGTCTTTCACTATTTATCTTACTTTTACTTCATGAATTAGCTATCAAATCAATAAAAAAAAAGTATGTCATTCATTTATGACAATCAATTTTATCATGTGGAACTTTGTATTTAAATTAGGAGAGTACTGAAATTTTACTAAAATTAGTTTTGTGGTCTAAAAAATGTTGCTTTCCTTTACAACAATTCTGAAACTATACTTCAGTTATGATTAACGCATATAATAAAACTCGTGTTTATTTTAATGGAAATTATTATATATATATATATATATTAATACATATTAATTAATGTGTTAAACGTTTAACGTAATAGAGAATACCGAAAAAATTCGTTACTGAATATGGGAAAAAAAATATTCAAACATTTTTTTTGTTATATGTATAAATTAAATTGTTTCTTTGGGTGTTTTGAGACCTAATTAAGTATTATTATAATTACAATCAGCGTATTTTTAGATACCTAGAGACATAATCTTTATTTCAGATACTTTTTTTTTATGAGAAAAAAACTACTTAGTTGTATTTGTAAATTTTAATGGATCAAAAAAATTGTTTTCCAATAATTCAGGTTCAAATCATTAACGAAAATAATATAATTTATCATTTAAACAATCTTCATAGTAACATAATCTTCCTGGTAAGGTCGATGACATTCGTTTTAGGACTTACAGGAAATTATTAGGACATGCCCAAATTAATCGAAATTTAATTTAATGTATTATCTGTTTAGGATTTAAATAGTAGTAATTATATATTATTGTCGTTGTTAATGTTATATATGATCATATTATAAATAATTTATTTGCTTAATATTTTATTGTATTCAATTTTTGGCCAAATTTTACTGATGTCGAAAACAACAAATCGTAAAATCTTGTACAATTTTTGGTACACTATCTATTTTATAATTATACAAATATTGTTCAAATCTCGAAAAAAAAAAATGCGTCATAATGGACTAATCAGAAAAGATATATTTAAAAATTAATTCTTAGACTTAATAAACTATTTTTTATATGGAAAAATTACGAATGTACCATGTTTAACTTACCCACTTGCTCGTTAAGCAAAAACCGGTTGACTTTCACTGTGTTGGTTTGTTAGCAGTTTACACCTATTTTTGTTGACCTAATCGTATAGTATTATTATGTACTTTTTTTATGAGCTAAGATTTTGAATTATATCATTACCGAAAATATAATGTGTAACAATAAATAATATAAACATTAAACTCCTAATTAGAGTGCATCGACTAACCATTTACAATGTTTGTATCCAAAAGCTTTCTTTTTAGATATATATTTATTTTTATGAAATAAATAACCGTTAAATTATTTTTAAAAATTAAACATCGAAACGGCACACAGATTAGGCCATGCGTTTTATTTCATCTTCAATAATTAGCTTTATAATTCACTTAATGTTTGCATAATTCAATTTACTTTTCTTATTACATAGTAAGTTAAACAATACTCATATTGTTAACATAGGTGAAATACTATAACTACTAACTATACATGTACACAATATATGTATAGTTTATTTGAATTGCTATTGTAGCAAACTTTTTGAAGATAAAATTACAATATATTATTACATAATGTTTATTACGTGTTAAACAGAAGATAAATCTGTAAAATATAAATATATCAAATCAAAATAAAATATATCAAATATGTATATGAATATATGTAAAAAAAATATAAAATGTATATATGTATAATAAAATGTATAATATGTATAAAATATATATATGAAATATATCAAATCAAATCAATGAGTAATTACCATTTGTCATAAAAACAGTTTAAAGTGAATGCGTGACATATGAAATTTTAGTTTTCTATAAACAATATTTAATTTTTCTATGGTTCAATTAAAATTTGAATGGAAATATTTTGTCTTTAAATGAATATCTTTCCCACAATGATCACAACTAATTCAGCAACATAGTTTGAATTTTTCCAAAAGTATAAATAATTTTTAAACAAAAATTATTTGTTAAATGGAGAAATGAGGCCTTATCTTCTTTTTCCTCGCCTTAATGCCAACTACTTGGGGTTGTCTAAAAGGAGGCCGTTTTATCTCTTCTGTTATTAGATGAGTGTTCGAGTAAAATATTCTAATTTTAAAATTAAAAAAAAAATTAATTATTACAGTAAATTATCATTATGATTATAAAATTTCATTTTTCACGAAAAAAATCTCTAAAATTACCTATAAGAAACATAAGTTACGTTTCCATTTTATCTATTATATTTTCAAGTATTTGTTTAAAAAAAAATTAATTTCTTATTATAGTGAATTAGTTTATTCTTTTTGGCCTATAATAAGTGATGAAATCAATTGTGTGCTTTAATATAAATCACAGTTTCGGCGTTTACTATAAATTTCAAGTATTTCATGTGTTCCCAGAGATATAGTATTTAGACAAAGTATTTATAAATTTTATGCATTCAACATTTTAATTGAAAATAATCAGAATCGATGTTGAGGTATGATGTGTTAGGTTGGAAAATTAAAAAAGTTTAATAAAAAATTTTATGGGTTATTAGACTCTATTTTTAAAGTAGACTTTGAACGTGGCTGTTAATTTTTATGACAGATTTACATTAAATTGTTCGAAAAGAACAGTGTGAAAAACAAATAAAACTATACGCTCTGATGACGGTATAAAGTGAATGTTTTCTTATTACCAATTTTAGTTAGTTAAGTTTAAATAATACTAACATGGTTTATTCTGATACAGGTAAACATTTTTCACAATGCAAAGTGCAAACAAACGAGTTTGACGACTGTTTAAAAAATGCAATTAATAACGTTCGAAGTTACTTCACCACCGGTAAGATTTACTATATACTACAATGTTGTACAACTATAGCGTTCATTTAAAACGTAAACATAATTTTTCATTATTCAGAGTCATGTGACTTAAGCGATAATAAATAATGTTATCCATTTAGGCGTGCCTGAACTTGGAATTCCTCCTTTTGATCCGTTTTTTGCTGCTGAGGTTAGACAAAGCAGATCTTCTGGTCTATTTGGATACAAGTTATCTATATTCAACGTTACTGAGAGTGGTTGGAAAGTTTCGGAAATTCGTAAAGTCAAGTAAAGAAGTTATGCATGTGTAATTCAATTATTATCTTAAATTATGACTAAATTATTGATTTTTAGAACTAATTTAAATGCTAATACGATTAAATTAACTCACTACTTCCCAGAAAAATATCTTGAAGGCTATTATGAGGTGGAAAATACATTACTACGTCCTGGCGTTACCACTGTTGGCCAGTTCAATCTCACTTTATGTAAGTTGTAACACGTTCAGCTTAGAATGCTTAAATAGCTAAAGGAGCTATATTTATTTTATTATAGCAGTAATCGGTATCGAAATAAAATTTTCTGGATATTTCACCTTCATACCCCTGACTATAGCAGAATTTTAAAAAGATGTTGCATGTTGTTAATTTTTTAACATTATATTATTTGTCATCTGCTTCTAAAAGCAGAATTTTGGAAGTGTAATTTAGATGTTTTGTGTCAAAATTCCATTTTATTAGTTTACTAGATCCATCAATCTAAAAATGTAGACTTCGCATTTTAAATTTATTGCCCTTCTTGGATTTCTTAATATTTAACCTAAACATTAATATGAAAGTTAAAATAAAATATGTTATTTGTAAAATCCCTACTACAAATCAATTTATAATATTTAAATTAATGTAATAAAAATTTAGTTTCTTTTGCACAGTTAAATTTAAGCTTCTCTTTAATAGAAAATAAATATGTTTTTTTTAGAGAGCAAAGTTCTAAAAATATCCCATTTACTCACCTTTAATATTTAATAAAGTGTTTTATTTTTAGTTGATTATATACAAACAATGACCATAAGTAAACCAAAAAATGCCAATAAGATTAAAGTAGCTGTACAACTTCTAGAAATAGGTAATATGTCTCTTCATATAAGTAATCTCATGCGTGGAAGAGTCATCATAGGTAAGTTAATGTATCAGATATATTTTTTATACTTAATTATATATATATATATATAAATAGTTACTGAACACAAATTTTCTGCACATAATTTATAGCATCTTTTTTTTAATCAATCATCTAATATATTTACAGAAAATGTTTTGGATAGAATTATTAATGCTTCATGGAGAGTTGGTTTACCAGTAGTAAAACCACTCATTAACGATCTTGTAGGAGTAGCTTTTACAAAAATTTGGAATGATATATTTAATAACTTTGACTTTAAGTTAATTTTGCCATAGGCTATTGGACATATTTTAAATAATTTAATGTGTGTATAGTCAGTGAATCATTATTTATATTTTCTCATGGTAAATAAAGAATTTTTCATTTAAACATCTTTAGTTAAATAATGCTTAAATTCGAGACTTGAAAATTTTGTTATTATATATAAAATTGGTTTATGTAACACATAAGTAATTTTTACAGATAATTAGTATAATTTTTTAATTTTAATTTTTAATTGTAAAATATTTCTTGAAAACTTTTATATACTACTTGTTTGTTAAATAATTAATATTTTGTACATATTATGTTCAATACATATTTTAAGTCATTTATTGATGATCATAAAAATTGAATAAAAATGAAGACTTTTATAATGTCTAATTCCATTGTCTTTAATTTATTTTTATATTATTTGTAATTTCATAAAAAAAAAAAAATAGTTTAATAATTCTAAAAATATAAAATAAATATCAAGATATATTTTTAGAATTTATTATATTAAAAACCAGTAGTTAGTTTTTAATTATGAATTATGTATAATACTTTCATCATTGCTCTCATCATAATTTAAAAAATAGTGAACCCTTCTCAATATTTCTAAGTATGGGACTTGTCTGCCTTGCACAGTATCAATAACAATCATTATTTAATTTATTTTAACGTAAAAACGTTTATTAGTTAAAGAAAGCATACAGCTCATATTTTGAAATTCTAAAAAGAAATTTTTTTACATAAAAGATTGTTAATCTTGAATATTTTTATTTAATGAACAACCAAATAAAAATAATATGACTATTTTAACTAATTAACTTTCTAACTCATCTAAATTATGTGTTCACCCTAATATTTGTGTTGTATGTTTCACCAAATTAAAAATTTACCTATAGTAAAAAATTATCAGTTAAGATTCTGATACCTGAAAAATTGGTACACAGCTAATATTACAAAAAGTTTTATCTTAATTTCATTTTTTTTGTCATCTCCATTATAATTGCATCCTCATATTGAACTTTAATCATAATACTATAAAACAAAAATTAATTAATTTTACTCCTATAAGTATACAATTAAATTTTTATATATTATAATTTAATACAAAACATTCTTTAAATCATAGTTTTTACTTAAATAAGTCAATTTTATAGATAGAATAACGGCATTAATCATTGGCAGTTACAAATCTCAGACAATTTTTATATTTGGCATGCCATTGGTATTACCTTTACAGTGTCTTTTCTTTTAGAAATTTAACTTTTAATGTCAACTTTTTTTAATATAAAATTTAAAGCTAATATTATGGTTTATCTCTTGTATTTTAACTAAAAATTTTGATATAATTTTTAGTAAAGTATTATTGTAAATGAATATAATAAATAAATACTTATCGAAATAACTCTTTATTATTAAATAGTACTAATAAAAATACGAGGATGAATTGATAAGGATCTTTTAAAAAAAATAATAATAAAATGTAACAAAAAAGTTGTCAAATATATTTTTTATAAGTTATACAAATTAAACAAGAATTACAATTTTTTTAATATAATTTTTAAGATTTTTTAACATTTAAATTGACAGCTTTTAGTTTTCTTTTTTCAGTTTCATTACTTTTTTTTACAACTTTTACCTTAGGTGTTTTTTCAGAATTTCTAGATTTTGAGTTTTTTAATGTATCATCAAAATTATAAACCTAAAACATGATTAAATATTACAATCAGGTTAAAAATTTTTAATAAATTTTCATGATTACTTGAATGTCATACTGAATTCCCTTGCTACCTAACTTCTTTTTTATAGCATTTAGTCGTTTTTCTAATTTATTTTTACTTTTTTCTATACGTTCAGGATCCAAAGGCCTTTCCATTATTTTTCTTTGAATAGATCTATGTTTGATGACTGATGGTATTTGTTTTTTATTACAATATTTAAATAATGATTTCTTTACTTCTGTTGGTGGTAAATATTTAGCTAAAGAAAAAATAAATTTTATTTATAATGTAGTAGCTTTACAATTTAAAGTCAATCATTTCAAAAAGTAAAAAAGAGCGCATAGCAGAGCATCTTAGTTTTCTCTTTAAGAATAAAAATCGAAATACACAGAGTTATTAAAATTTTTACACTAGAAATTATAATATGTTACCTTTAATAATTTTTTTGTGCATTAAATAATTATCCATAGTTTCTGCTACAACTTTTGCAACTTCTGGGTACTCAAACTCAACAAAACCAAATCCACGAGCTCTTCCGGTTTTCTAAATAAGTATAAATTTAAAATGAAAATAAAATTGTGATAATTTAAAGAAAATTAATTATTTTAATTTGAAAATATAAACAGATTTTCTTAAAAATTATAAATAACAAAGAAAAATGAAATAGTAACAAAAATAAATATTAAAAGATGAACTAATTTTTATTATATTATGTTTTCACAAAAAATATTTTTTTAATTATTCTGTGAAAACTCAGTATTTTGATACATCAAAATTTTAATAAAATTACTCTTTGTTATAATGTTTGTCCAAAAATTCAGAATTATTAAAAATTCTTGTTTATTCTGAAGTTATATAATTATTTACAACCATGTTATAAAATAAAATTTCAACAAGAATAATAATATATTTGATAGATAATATTTTATAACAGGCTATCATAAATTATAAATGAAGAAACAAATCACAAAATCTATCTTACAAAAATAAGAAAATGAAGATATAATATTTTAATTTTATTTGACAAATAATAACATACTTTGCTTTTAGGAATATTAATATTTGTTACTTCACCAAATTGTGAAAAATATTGTTTCATTTCATTTTCATAGAATCCATGAGGAATGTGAGATAAATAAACAACTCCTCTTTCTGGTTGATGAGTTTTCTGTTCATGGACACTAGTTTCTTGACTTTTATCAAGCTAAAATATAAAAAATAAGTGTAACATTATATTACTTGAACCAATTTCTAAATATTAAAAGTATTAAAAATATATAGTTCAATATTAATAATATTGAATAATAATATTATAACTATAAAGAAATAATATAATATTTAACAAATTAAAAGGAAAATAATTTTTCAATAAATAAAATAACTTTTTATCAATTGTATTTAATAGAAAAGAGGTAAATTATAATATAGTATTAAGAATTTTGTTTATTAGATATGCAAATGATTGATATATTTAAGATGATTAAATAAAATTTTTGTAATAAATAACATCTCCTTCTTCAAATTATTAGTAATTAAATGCATATTAAAAGGTACAGATTATTAAATTTCTAAGGAATACTAATATATACATATGCAGAATGATTGATTTATCACAAATCACTTAATTAATCATAAAATAAATGCAATATTGTAAATAAATCTTTGGTTTATTTTTTTAATAGCATTTATTCTTAATTTATTAGCTTATTAATTACTTCATAGAATCATACATTATAACTTATAACAGTATCGAGTTATTGTTTGAAATGTTTACGGATGTATCTACGTTTTCAGTTATGAGCTGACGTTTTGGACTCGTTGTAGAGAGATAGTTACAGGCTCATGGTTGTATCTATACCGTTAAGTTTAGTATAAACGTAATTTTTTTTTTAATGGAAACATACATATTTAACTAGCTTATAAAATAGAAAATTAATTAATTAAGAAAAGGACTAATCAATAACGACTTTTGAATCCATAGTTTAGAAGTTATTAACAATTTAAAGTAATGATTTGGTTTTATTATGAGATATTTTTAGTCTCACTCCTGCTCCAATCTATGTTAATAACTTTTGATATATTGATCCAAAATTTGGATGAAAAACAAAAATAAAAAAATTATTAAAAATATTTTTAATTTTTGATTTATTAAGTGGTTTATAATAAGCAGGGCTTGTAAATTTATACATTTGTATGATTTTTTAGCTTCTTAGAAAAACATGCTAAGTGGGATAAAAATCCATTTTATAACAATATAAATAAAAACATAGGTTAACATTAGTTTAATAGCTTATATATTCAGTGTTATAGAATATTTGGCATATAGTTGATAATTTGGAGTTATTCAGCATTTATTTCCCATAAATTCAAAGAAATCTTTTTTCAACAAATGTATCTTTTTTCACCGAAAACATTTACAAAGTCTTAGTAATTTTGTAGTTCTATTTTTTTATGATCTGAGTAAGTTATCAAATGTTTGTAATTCTACCTGAAGAAATGAATGGGAGCGGTTTATTATATTTTAAATACACACTATACTTCAATAAAAGTAGAAAGATCATTTTTTCTGTCATATAACGTATTGGTCAACAATCTACAACTTTTTAAGTTAGAATACTTAAACTGATAGTATAATGTAATTTTTATGGAAGGTAAGTTAAGTTTAAAAAAAAATACATAATAGAGTAGGTACTAAATTTACTCAAATGTTTCAAAATATAATCATTTACATATTAATAATTTTATTTTTATTATTAAAAATTAGAAAAAGAATTAATTTTCAAAGATTACTAAAATTTTTAAGATGTTTTGTTTTTATTTTTTCTTATACAAAAAATGTATTAATTTATAACTTTTTATTTGTTAATAGTTTTTTACTTAAATTTTATAGTTTATAATAAAATATAAATTATACATTTTAAAGATATGAATGAATATTTCTTGTTATTTAAAAATATGCTTATTTTAGATCTTAGTCATAGACATTGAGTAATGGGTCTGGAGAGGCTAAGCACTTCCTCATTTTACAAATTTGCTCTCCAATAATTTAGTAAAATTATATATATTATAATATAAAAATTATTTTTCACAAAGTACACCTTTGGTCTATAATGAATATTTTAATGTATATAATAGAGATGTCTCAGATCCAATTGATAATGATTGTAACAACGTATATATATATATTTGTATATACATATGATATAAAATATGAAAACACTTGATTAAAATTATTGAGTATAATTATCAAATAATAATTGAATGACTATCAAATAGTTTCATAGTTACTGTATACAATATTTCCCATCATTAATTTTTAATATTTAATTAAGCAACTTATGACACACCCAATTCCATGAAAATTTATCAGGAGTACATATAGTACGACAAGAACATTTTTTGTTTCATGGGAGGAATGATCTCCCACATTCCCTAATTCCAAATTAATTTACATTGAATCTTAACAAATAAAAAAATGGTAGCACAGTGGGGTCGCGGCATATTGGAGACATTACATAGTTAGGTCCAGTATAGATTTAATCTGAAAGTGATTAAAATCACTATCATAAGAAACGCTTCGATGCAAATCTGTAGATAGTGTTTAATTTTAAAAAATTGATGGATAATTGCAAAATCAACATCAAGTTCTATTAAAATAAAATACAAAACCCATAATTTTAATACAAAAATAGCATATTTTTGAATACGGCAGCCATTTAAATGTAGAAGAAAAAGTGTCGGGACAAATTTTTTTTTTTCATTTTATAGTACATAAAAAAAGCTTTAATTTGATATATGTTTGAAGGACGCAGTATTTCCGGAACATTTTCAAAAATTAAGTTGAAAAAGTTAATTTTTGTAAAAAAGTTACTATTTTAAATCCCCCCTAATGAGCAGGTTAAGTGATAGATTTACAAAAAAATGATATCAAATGAAAGGTAGATATCTAAGGTTTTAGTATAAAAAAAATATATGTTGATTTGTTGATTTTTCAAAAAGTTATGGAAGTTTTAAGAAAAAAAAGTNAAAAAAAAAATTATGTTGATTTGTTGATTTTTCAAAAAGTAATGGAAGTTTTAAGAAAAAAAAGTGAAAAAATCTCGAAAATTACCGATTTTTAAATTTGTAATTTTTTTGGATATTTCCCCCATTTGCGGGGAACGAGGGAATTTTTTTCAATTTTTAAGGGTAATGTCTTCAACTAGATACGATTTGTGATCTTTTGACGTATTTTCGAAAGAAATCGGTCCAGTGAGAGCTGAGAAAAAGTGGCAACAGACATAAAAAAAAAAAAAAACACATCATAGTAAAATTAATACCTTCTCCACTTCGCATGGAAGCTAAAACATGAATATCTATTCATAAATGAACTTGAAACAAATTTTATAATTCTCAAGTCTTTATTATAATTGACAAGAATAAATTGATGTTTGATAAATTACCTTATATATATTAGCAAGAGTTAATAATTAAAATAGAAAAAAAACAAATAAAATTGATGCTATTTATAAGTAAAAAATTAAATATTGATATTTTATTTCATTTCTAGTAAGTTTTATCAACATATTTTATTATAATTATTTATTTTCAATGTAATTTATTAAAATATAAGCAAACTTACTTTAATGAATCCAGTTTTGAACATTTTTACAAAATTATATCAAATTCTTTACAATAAGTGTTATAATTTTTGATTTCTTAAATACTTATATCCAAATAATTAACTATTTAAAACTTGAATGATGTTTAAAAGTAATGTTAGCTTTAATAACTTAAAGTATCAGAATTTAAATAAACTAATGTTTTTATTTTCAAAAAAAAAAGGATATAAATATATAACCTCAATACTTTTTATCAAAACACATGCACGTTCATAGTCTATGACTCGTTTATACACAGTTAACATAACCGTGTTTTTCTGTATTAAGTTGGGTTTGTATTCCCAAACTCCCTTATAATAGCGCTTTTGCGGACAATATCTAAAACGTTATCGACAACAGATATCTATATCTGTGATGAGTAGTTTTATTTACATAGTTATCATTTATTATTATAACGCCTGGCGTTCTATGATTTTGGATGTACATATGTAAAGAATATTATCTATATCTGTGTTTGAATGTATAAAATTCATTGTGTTACCAATAAACACATTATGATTACATATAAGCCATCAGTTAAAAATGTGTTACTTCAAAATTTATTTTTTATGATCACTTAATAATTGTTAAAGCCAGTGAGTAGTATCTATTTATGTAATGAACCATTATAAAGTATCCTTCAGTCATAATTAAATTTAAAAACTAACCATGGAAAAACAGATTATCCAATGCTGAAGCAAAACATAACCCGGCTTACATCCCGTTGGTCTATTTTTAGTAATTTTGCAAGGAGTAAAAATTGAATTTGGAGCGTGATAACTGAATTCTACTAGATAATTGTTCTCTAAATTGAACACTATGGCGGTAAATTTTTTTATATTATAATAAAAATAATCTTACAATTTTAATTAAAATTCTTAATTTAGGTATATTTTTTAATTAGGTCTTTAAAATTGGTTACATTTTTGTAAAAAAAGAAAATTTTATTTTATTTTTTCCAATAATGTTGTTTAGAGCTTTTTATTTTAATTGAACATAACATCCATGGTTACCTATAATATTGCATGAATGTTGAGTAAAGATTTTATTATAGAATCTCTATGCACATTATAATAAATCTATAATGGCCTTATTGAATAAAATAATAATTGTGAACTTTTTAGCACAATTAACAAGATATTAACTGCTGCTACTTTTTTAAAACTGAATTGATTATATTTTTATAGTATTTGTTTTGAATTAATTTTAAGATATTCCTATAGACATAAATTAGAAAAAAATTTGAGGAGATCTTAATTAATCTATTTATATATAACAATTTAAACATTTTTTTTAATAATGTCAGACAGCTAAGCTTCTTAATTTTCATTAATCATTTTCATGTACATATATCTATATTTTTTTAGGCCTTGCTTGGTGTTCAGTTAATTATCACAATGGTTGCCATTAATTTAATACATCGATTAAGTCCAATCTACTCATTTGCAAGATGGTCCTTATGCTCTACAGGGTATGCTGTTATTAAAAATTGACTATTTCTTATATAAAATATAAATATTTGTTGATATCTAAAGATAAAAACATTTGATTTTATAATTAAGTTTTTCTATCTTATTTAATCTCATAAGATAGTTTTATTTTTTATTGTAAAAATTTAGAATTAAAAAGATTCAGTTTTATTAATTACTCAAAAAATATTTTCCCATTAAATATATTGAAAAATTAGAGATATTACAAATAAAACCAAGTATAGTGATTGTTCTCTTTTTATAGACTTGTACGTTATATTCATCCCACTGATAAAGAATTGAGACAAATTTTAGGTTTAAAAAAAAAGGAAAATAAACAAAAAAAAGGTCTTTCTAATGGACAAAGTAACAATGTTGATGTATTTCAAATACCAAAAAATTTAGAGATTAATGTAAGTTTAATGAGAATCAATTGAATTTGTTAATTTATATACCAAATAATCTATTGTTGTAGCTGCAAAATCAACCAATTTATGAACATGAAATATATCAACTTAAATATTTTATGGAATATCAATGGCTAGTCAATTTTTCTATTTATGCTGCATTAGTTTATTTTTCTACAGAAATTTATTCATATTATTCATCAATTACTAATGAAATAAATTTAAGTATGTTGTGGTGTGCAATAGTTATAGTATTTGCATTGTATCCTTTTATTTTTTGAGTAGTAATATTTAATTAATTGTAACAATATAAATTAATAAAAATTTTCCTGAAGTACAAAATCTAGTAAAATATTAATATCATTAACTATGGAATATTTTTATGGAGGATTTGAATCAGTTGGTGAAAGGTCAACAGTTGTTGTTGCAGGTTTTGTTTATCTAGTCATTTCCATGATTATTTTAATAATTGATGAATCCAAGCTAGATGTTCGATTAGATACTGCCTATAAGAGTTTCAATGAAAGCTCAATAGAATTTTTAAATAATCATGGCTTACCTTCACAGTAAGTAGTAGAATATTCTTAATATTTTTTTGATTAATAATTAAGTAATTGTTTTGATATTTTCAGGGGTCCAGCATCAAAGTTAATTGTTAAATTTTGTTTAGCAATTTGGTGCGCAGTTACTGGAGCAATGTTTGTTTTTCCAGGAATTCGTACAGCTAAAATGCATTGGGATTGTCTTAAGTAAGTGTAAAGTTAAAAAATATTTAAAATTATACATTTTAACTAGTATTCTTCAAAAAATGTAGAAAGAAAAAGGCACAGATTGTTGAACTGTGATTAATTTCTTGTATTTTTTATTTATAGAAAATGGTTTACTGGTTAGGTCTAATATTTTGTATAGTTCTATACAATACTCACTTCGGTTTATCTATGTGTGGAACTTATAAAATATTTTTCAGGTATTATGAATTAAACTGTTTTTATGGCAAATACATAACTCATATTATAAAGACTTTAATGAACTTAAGCTTGATTAGTCATTTTTTACTTATATTACTTTGGATCAAGCCAATAACAGTTGATTTACTAACAGTAAAAAATTTGTCAGGATTCAATAAACCATTGTAAGTAAACAATGTATTAATGTATACATTGACAAAAGTAATTAAGAATTATTTTAGAATGTCAGTAGAACAGTTTGAGAGTCTGAGGTGCTGGGGAGTTGTATTTGTAGTAATTCAACGTTTGTTTTTAATGCCAAAATATATGCAAGCTTATCTTAACATGGCATATGAACGATTTGAATATCAAAAAAAAGAAGCTGGACGTATAACTAATAAAGAACTACAAAAACAAGTATAATAATATTCAAACTAAATAAATGTAATATTCATAAATGTAAAATATTCATTTTAGGTATCTGTGATATATTACTATACTTGTGTCGTTGTACTTCAATATATTATACCACTTGTGATGGTACTATTCTTCACATTTTTTTACAAAACTTTAGGTAATAATACTTATTCATTAAAATTTTAGGATTAGATATTTAGAGTAATATTGTTCATTGTTATATTACAAATATATGTTTTAAAACATTTTTTTTCTTGCTCTTTTCTGATTAATCAGTTAAGAATTAACAAACTTAATAGAAAAATTTTTGATAATCACTTTTATTTTAACTGGAATTATCATATGGAATTTAGGTGATTTAAACTGGGTACAATCATTTAACAATTTGCCTTCTACAAATAAAGTTCTGACAAATAATACTACACTTAAAATGGAAGAGCAATACTTTACAATTCAGTCACTAAAACAAGTAATATATCTTTTTACTAATGTATACTGATTATTAATTGAAATTTGTTATGCAATAGATATTTACTGTAGACGTCTACAGAGGAATTTTTGGATTTGCTACCTGGTGGGTTTGTTTTTCTTGGTTCTTGTCACTATCATTAGGTATATTTTATCAAACTTATTTATCAGCCTAATAATAATTAAAAGTATAATTTAAATACTATTGTTGTTTAGTGGTAGAATGATAAATTGAGTTTAGTATTGTGTTCATAGAAAATAATTATGAATGTTTTGTTTTTAATGTTTCTTGTATTTTTTCATTTTATTTATATGAATGTACTTTTTACATTAACTTTGTATTTATTGTAAAATATAAAGTTACATTACAATTTTTTTGTATTATATTAGTAAAATGGTCAACTAATCTTTTTAAATCTTATCACAAAAATACTATATTCGCTATTGACATTTTTACAATGTACAACAATATTATAAAAATAGAAATATCACAATGTTAAGGTAACAATACATAACAATATTGGCACACAACTTTAGTATAACTTCAGGTTTTTCACTTGATTATCAATAGAAGTATTGATTGCAGGTCCTATAGAAAGAACTGTCAATTGTCCATTTTCTATATACTCTGCTGTTTGAATATCTTCTAGTATGCATTGTTTTTTGATACTTTCAATTGTTGTTTCATCTGGTGCTCGTAGAACAACTCTTGCACATCTACTAGGAAGTCCTATACATTCTCCTTTTTTGTATGCAGTTACAGATATAACTGCACACTGAAAAATCAATGATACTTTGTAAACTATTATTACATTAACCTTAAAATACTCAAACTATGAACTATTCTATTATATTTTATAAAAAATTATATTAGTGATTTTTTATTTTATCAATATTTATTATTTACAACAATATATCAATTTTTTTTAGTAACTGATGGTATTAATATAATTCTAGGTCATTAGTTATATTGTTTAGTTCACTACATTTAGCTGGGCCAATTGCCATTACTGTTTTTGAACGAGGAGCCACTTGAGTGCGTCCAGCATCAATTACAATAAAAGTGTTAAATCCTTTTTCAACTGCTAAAGTTTGATATTTTAACAACATTTCTTCATCTACAACTTTGAAAATATCCACATATCTATCATTTAATTCCCAATTTTCTATTTCTACAGAATTCTTCTTAAGACCAAATTCGTAGCAATGAACCATTGCATGAGAACACTGGGGATAACAAGAATATTTTTAATTGATTTCAATTAGATAGGCAAAAAATATTACATTCTAGACCCAGCTAAATTTACATTAAACAACAAATGTATGTTCATTTAAAAGTTCTATAATAGTTATAAGTAAATGATAAAAAATTAAATATCTGTTATGAAAGAGAACAGTAATCTTTTAAAACTTACTTGTGCAGCTACTTTTCCTTTTCCCATTTTTAAATCGTGCCGAACCAACAATGCCATTTTATATTCTTCTGCCGCCATTCTATTTAAAGATTTAAACTCTTTTTTACGCTCAAAATTGTCTTCAATATTTGTCGTCTTATCTCCAGTAAAGTCATAAAAATAACATGATATTTTACTTAAAAGTACACCGGTAATGATACCAACAGCTAACCCTTTATTAAACTTGTTTATAATCAATTCCTCAAAAAAATCCATCATTTATTCATAAAATTAAATTTTTAAGACGACTACTACAATTAATGTAAACTAAGTCAAGATTAATGAAGTCACTTAAAGAGTTTTTGAGTTTTTAAATGTTGAGGCTATTATCAGAAATTGTGATTATGTAACATAACCTAAGAAATAAATATGTAATGTCATGGAATAAAGTGTTATTCATGGAATAAACTCTACTTTTGTTACTGTAATTGAAGCTCTCATTAACAAGTATATTCTCAATTATAATTTATATCAACAAAAATACTAGTTTTAAGCTAATTTTTTTTGCGAATAAGTTAATTATAATTCCCAATAATAATTAAACTGTCTAAATTAAAAGTTCAATTAATTACTAATTACTATAAAATTTAATTATTATTATCAATGTTAAAATCAATTTTTTGATTTCATATTAAATTTTAGAAATTTAACTTAAATCGTTTATGATTAAAGTCATATTTTTGTCATATTCACTTTTCATTAAGTTTCTTATAGTACTATGCCTAAAGAAGTAACTATCACACTATCAAGTCCACCTACTACAACACCAGTTCAAGGGTTGTTTAGAAAGCGTAGTAGTCGACCTGTTCATATAAAATCATGGACCATCATGTTAGAAAAAAATGGATTTGTTCGATGTCATCTACAGCATTGCCGATATATAGCATATTGTATTGATGATATGAGAGAACACTTTAAAACATGTCGTGGTGAAGTAGCTGGTAATTTTGTTTGTTCTACTTGTGGTGGTCAAACAACATCCCAAGAAGCTCTTGATTATCATAAACGAAATAACCATAAAGATTCTGATGTTATGTCTATTATAATCAAACCAACTTTAACTGATCATCAAATAGCTTCATGGACTGCTGATATAAAAACACGAGGATATACCCAATGTTTTATGCCTGAATGTCATTTTATTAGTTATAAATTATCAGAGCTAGAACAACATTATGAAAAATGTCTTGGTGAGGATCCTGATACATCTTCAAAATTTTTTTGTCGCCACTGTAAAGGTTATACATCTTCTCAACAGGCTCTTCAATATCACCAAAATAATCATCACAAAGATTTACTTTTTCCCATAAAACAGGTAAAATTATTATTTTTGATTCTATAAAAAATTAATAATTTTATTTTTATTATTAATGTGCTTATAGGATAAAGAAGATGATTTGGATGATGATAATAAAATTCAATCATATCCTATGGGTCAGTATGGCCACTCAACATCAAGCGCTATTAATGCTGACAGTAAAATAGTAACTTATTCCCAGTGGAAAATTCAAGAAGATTTAGGTGACAATGATTCTATTTGTTCAGAAGTAAATGTAAACAATCCTACTGACTCGCAGGTAAAATCTTGGATTCGAGGTTTAAAACAAGGTTATGTTCATTGCAATCATAATGGGTGTAAATATATGACATTCGACTTAGATGATATGAATGATCATTTTGCTACATGTTATGAACCATATTTGGATGATGAATTTGAGTGTTCAATTTGCGGTGGTAGAACAACGTCATCTAATAAATTGAAAACTCATCTTTTACACCATCATGATGAAGGATATAAACATTTAACAGAAGAAGAATGTGGTTTTAAACTTGTAGAAACAGAAGATGGATTAGAACTACAATCAGAAAATACAGAACCTTTAAAGCGTAAAGCTGAAGAGACTGATGAAGAATATGAAGATAAACATTCTTTGAAAAGAAAATCATATGATATTCCATACAATCATCTAACCAAATGGAGAGATGAATTACTAAGAAATAAATTTATCAGGTAAACATTGTACTCAATTTTCGTAACATAATTTGTTTTAAATTTCAAAATATTTTTTATAGGTGTACAGCATCTGACTGTAGTTACTTAGCTCTTGATATGTTAGAAATGAAACAACATTCTGATGAACATGTGGACAGTGTTTACTGGTCTTTTAAAGATCGGGACTTGGAAGATAGAGTAGCAAACTTTTGTGATGCGTGTAATGGTCATTTTAAGACAGCAAAACATTTAGATGGTCACAAATTGATATCTCACAATAGTAGCGATACATCAAAAATTGATAGTTTACTTGCTGATAATAATGAATATAACATAGATGAAGATGAAGAAATTGAAGAAGTATTTTAACTATTAAGTTAAATAACAATTTTACTTTTTGCAATGTCCAATATATTACTTACTAAAGTTAATTGACATTTATAATTTTTAAATGACAAGATTTTTTAGTATTAATTTTATTTACATAGATGTTTTTATTCATCTTTATAACTCAGAGTTGTTAGGAATAACTCCTTACAAAAATAATTTATGGATAATAACTAATCATATTAGTTGTTTTTACATTAAGCTCAAAAATTAATTGTTTAAATAAGTATAAAAAACTATTAAGTTAATAATTTTTAATTACAAAATAGTTACTTATAGAAAAGAGAAATAATCTAATATTACTGTTATAAGCATCTAATAAGATTGAATGAAGGAATTATTTTTAGTTTTTAATTAAAATACTAATTTTTTTGTAAAAAAAATTTTTTTATTATAAGAAAATAACCATTTATTTTCTTTAAATATTAAATTTCTAAAAGAGTATAAGCAGTTATATTATTCCTATATTATGTCAAAGCACCTTAAAAGAAAGATTATTATCTCTAGTATAACTGATAAAAATTTTGTTATAGAATATCCAATTTTTGTTATTTGACTAATTTTGGTATATCTTTCTAAATATTTTAAATTTAAAAAGTACAATATAATTTGAATAATTGTAAAAAATTAAGTAATATTAAGTAGTCTTTTGATTTTACACTGCAATATAGAAAACAAAAAATCAAGAATATTAAATTTAAAATATAATTCAAAGCAAAATACAATTATTGTTGTTTTTGTCACCTAACAAGTGCGAACTATTTCCTCGTGTTGCCAAAATTGGCAAACATTTATAAAAGTAACTTGTTTAAACTTATTCAAGTTAATGTTAATACAATTATATTAAAATGAAAAACTACCTCCGAAATCTTAATTCTAGGAGTTATTGGACATTAAATTCAAAAATCATACAATTTTCAGAAAAATGGTCACACATCATTCTAAATTATTTCAATTAAATACTTGTTTAATGTAATATATAATGAAAAAAAAAATGTTCAGGTGAGTGGTGCTCTATGAGAGGCACTGATGTTAAATTTTATAAGCATTGCATAATAAAAAAAGAATACTGCAACACTACCTCTAATTTTTTTTACCTTTTTTGTTCCTTACTTATTGTTTAAGTTTCTTTTTAATTATAAACATTTATTAGGAAAAGCATGTCCTTTTATACACCATCCACCAAATATATGCATTGTGACCACAATACATATATAGAGATTGGCACTAGTAATCGACCTTTTAGATAAATATCTTTATAATTTATTTCCTAACAAAACGTTTTACAACAGTAATTTCAATTACTTTCAAATATAAATCAGTATTTATTTTTAATAAATGCCTCAACCCACTACACTGAATTCAGACTATACTTTTATTTTAATGTCCTCTCGACTAAATAACTTATTCTTGAACAACTAAAACAGGAAAACTCTGTATAAATAGAAGTTCGAAATCAAACTTTAATATTTATATGTAACTGGACTATAATCTATAATTAAATATTTTTTTTGTTTAGTGCAAAAAATTATATTAAAAAAATTAATTGAGTAAAAACTCATGTTTTGTAGTAATAAATAATCAATTTTTAAGATGTTTTATTGCAACAACATCATAATCCTAATTATGTTTTTTTTTTAATGATGTCAAATAAAGGATTAGGTAGGTCATACAATTATGTGAATTTATTTAATTTAATTTATTAATTACTCTTAGAGTATTTTTGATTCAGTAATATTTACTAAAAAAATATAAATATTTCATTGAAATAAGAAAAATAATCACAATTTAGATTTTGCTGAAGATAATCCAACAGGTATAAATGGACTTGACAGTGGGTATAATCTATGTTTCTTCTTAAATTCTGTAATGTCTGTGATAATTAAGGTCTGAAAAAAATACATGTATACATTTATATACTATATCAAAAACATATGCTTACTATAGTTGAAAAAATATTATTATTATTATAAATATGTAAATGACATACATTGTTATCAAACAAGGAAGTATCTTCACCAGTATGATTATTTTGTTGAATAGTATTATTTTTCAGTGTAGACTTAACATGGACAGCAAATTTTCGTCTTTTTGAACCCATCCGATTTATTTGATCCTATTAACAAATATATTTGTTTAAATAAAATTTTCAATTAATAAATATATTATTTTGTGACATGAAACAAAAAATTTTCAAACAATAAATTACAAAAATTACCTGGTAAAATTGTATAATATCATCTTTTTTAATAGTTTTTAAAGCCTCAGCTTCAATTTCTGATCTATTGAAATTATAATCTTGTGTGTCAATTTCTATTTGATAAACGCCTGCTTGTTTCATCAAACCTTTTGGCTTCTCTAGTAACTTAACTGTCAAAGCATCTTTATACTTTTCAAATTCTTCATTTGGCATTTTTTCCAATAAATCCTTTAATAAAATTATACAATTAGTATTCATACAAGAAAACTTAAATTTTATAATAATTAATTTTAAATTGAAATAATAAAAGCGCTAATAGAAAATAAATTTTAACCTGAACAGTATTTAAATAATTTTCAATTCTGGAATCAACATATAATGGAGTACGATCAGATTGCACAATTATACGTAAATTTAAAACTCCATGACTCCTACTTGATGAACTAAATACAATATACCCAAGTTGTTCCTACGATCACATTTTTTTAATTTAATGAGTTTTTAACATAAATTATATTTAAAATTACCTGTGTACGAAGTGTATTAAAACAAGATTCTTTAATTATTTCATTAAATAAACTAACAATCATATTATTCAATGTAGATTGGATACCACATTGTAAATGAATGTACACACATGAGCTGCTATGGTGGTCACTTGTTGTTTCGAACAAAGCACTTTCTCCTGTAAGTCAAAGAATTAAAATTAATTTAAGAGATAATTCTAAACAATTTACCATTTTCAAGTTGAACTTCTCTTGATCGCACCATTTGACGAGGTAATAATTTACGAAAACCATTACGGTTTGCAAATGGTTTTTCTAAAATTTGTACAATTTCTAAAGCTCTCTATAAAAATTATTCATAACAATTAATAAATAAATATAAATAAAACAATAATACACCAAATTTACATTTTGATCAATATTTCCATAAATCAGAGATTCCATAAACATATTTGACAAGAATTTTTCAACAAACTCTTCAATATTTTCAATTTTAACATCTAAAACAAGAAAAAAATACACAAACATTATATACCTTATACCACAATTTAATATAATAAAAATATGTGTTAAATATTCTTTTTGAATAATCCAAACAACATCAAGTTTTAATGATATCAAAAATTATTTGATAAAAAAATATATTAATTTTTAAAATAATTATAAATTATACTTTATTGTGCACACAAACATGAAATATATGGCTGAAGTTAATTTTTTTAAGAACTTAAATTTAAATTAATTGAGACAATGTCATAGGATAGGTACTAAATCTAAAAAAATAAATTTTGTGTAGAAAAAATATTCTAATAATTTGGTAAAAAAATAAATAAAATTTATGTATAAATAGGAATAAAAACTATGATGAAAATAGAAAGATGCTCGTTATAAGTCCAGTCAACAGTTGAGATAAACTGTTATTTTCTTCTACTGTAGAATTTAGTTTTTATGATTTAGTACCTTTTCTATGTCAGCATTTCAATTGTTCAACCTAAATACCTTCTAGGGATGCTAATAATTCATTTGGAGTCCAGGCGGCTTCTGATAATATAACAGAATTATAACGCATAGCACTATGATAAGGTTGTTCCATTGCTATGTTCTTTAAATCTCTAATTTTCTAAAATAACACTCAAATAAAATGTGTTAAAATAAAATAAAAATACAGAAAATTGATTTAAAAACTACCTCTTCTTTAATTATGTCAAATCGAAGTAGGTTTATTTTGAATGTTAGGAGCTTGTCAATAGTTTTTTTTAACAGTATATCAAGTTTATGATTGAATCCACTTAATTGCATCTAAAATTAAGAGTTTCATGAATATTTTATTAATCATTAATGATTTTATTAAAGTTATACCTTAAAACCATAACTACTAGGCTTAATAACTAAGTGGAGACTAGCTCTAGTAGCATCCCATGTGTATTCAGAAAAGTCTTCATTGAAGAGTCTGACAAATAAACTCATGACATTACAATAGAATGGATCACTCATTACTGTTGGACTACAATAAATAACAAAAATACAATATAATAATATAAACGATAAATTATTATTTTTAGCTTGTATAGTACCTGAAGAAATCAATTGAAACAAAAGCTTTAGGAAAACGAAATTCTGTATCTTTTTTAAACCAAGATCTAATTATCATTGAATCGTGAATAATACGTGGATATTCAGGTTCCTAAAAGAAATAATAAAAAATTAAAGGGCAATTTAAATTGATTCAAAGTAAGAATTTTACTTTATTGTCAAGTGACACCAAACTAAAATCTGTAGCTATAAATTCATTTTTTGACGGCATTTTGAAATCTTCCAAAAAATCATTTTTTTTCCAATTCTAAAATATTGATATGTTTAATAATAAAATTATACAATTAAATAAGTATAAAATATTACATTAATTGAATCAACAGGAATTTTGCATATACTATAAGGGGTTCCATAATATTTATCAACAGAGCTGGTTTGATCTTTAAATACTTTGGAAACAACGGTTACCCTAAAAAGATTAAATAAATATTTATTTAATATAAGTTTTTGTATTAATAAATAAATACCTCATATTTTCTGGTTTAAAGTATGTTAAAAGTTCTATAATTAAATCAGGTCTCCATTCACGAATCAAATACTCTGCAGTTAAAACATCTTCCAAGTTAAAATTCTAAATCAAAATAAATATAGACATATTTTGCATAAAAAGGAAATTAATAATATAATTTTGGTTTGCCAAAAAAAAAAAAAAAAATTAAAAACTAATAAAACATTCTTACAATCATGTGAGAAGATAAACGATACACATAGTCTAATGGCGAACCTTTGTCTTTAAATTGAAATTGCATAGCACTTATTTCTTTATTTTCTTGGTGAAACCATTCTTGAGGTCCTTCTCGTTTTAACATATTTACATACTAGTATATAAATAAATTCAAATTTTTGTATTTATGTTTTGCAAATTTATATACATGTAGCTTTTTTTAATTTTACCTGGAATATTAATTTTATAATGTCATCTACATGATCAACTCCTTTTTCAGTTAAATCAACATCAATATCAAAAAGTTCAATTCCTCTAGCTTCAAATTTGTTCCCTGCTGATAATTTGCTGGACCATCCTTTCTTTTTTAAAACTGTTAGTATACTGTATGGTCCTTCATGTCCAAATAACGCACTTAGATATCTATTTGGCTACAATATTATCAGGTTATTAATGAATTTTTCAAAACACTATACCTTTTTTTTACCATGCTCTTATAATATTTGGTTTGGTCAGGAATTAGAAAATTAACAGATAAAGCTCTTATATCTTTCACGGGTACTACTAGAGTCTTAGTTCCTAATTGTTCATCTTTATAAATAGGATCTGTCCATACAGGCATGTTTATATCTTTCTTTTGAATATCTCCAAACAAATTTCCCACAAGGGCTTCCAAAGTATCAAGGTTCTCTATAAAAAAATAATTTTAAATAATTTATATTAGTTTACTAAATTAAATATAATAAACTTACCTTTTCCTAATACTGAAAGGAACATTAAATGTGAAGAGTACCATTTAGAATGGAACTTCAGTAGCTCATCACGAACACTTATATTTCTTGAATTTGGATTATCCCATAAAGTTTCTTTAGTTCCTGTAAAATAGAATATAATAATAATTAATATTAGGATAGTTCATTATTTAATTAATCTAAAAATATTCAATAACGGTTTTAAATGTATAACACTAAAAAATAAATTTTTTTCTTAAATTATCAAAACTCCCTAAAAATTAAAAATTATTATTTAAAAATAACTAGTTTTAAATAATTAAACTTATTGTAGAAAAAGGATATAAAAATAATTAAAATGTAATTACCTGTTCCAAATTGATTATAGGCATGTGATGGTTCTGCTGCATTTTTTTCAAGTTGTGCTAAACGCCAAAAGTCATCTGCTACATTTTTTTCATGTTCAGAATTTACAGCATTAATTTCTCTTTCAGTTGCACTTGTAGTAAATAAAGGGTCCAAAAAAAATTGGGCAAACCTAAAATTTGTACAAAACAAAAATTTTGTGGTGAAAAAAATTTTTGCTTTATAAATAATCTAGTCTAAAATTAGTTAATTGTACCTGTCTAAAGATGGTTCTAAAGCATCAGTCTTAGTAGAAAAGTAGTAATTGGTGTGATCATTGGCTGTATAAGCATTATAAGATCCTCCGTTTTGTACTAAAAATTGTGTAAATTCATTTTCAATAGGATATTTTTTTGTACCTAAAAATAGCATATGCTCACAAAAGTGAGCTAAGCCGGGCAAGTCCTTTGGTTCACTTAAACTTCCTAAAAAAAATTTAATTTGAAAAAAAAATGTTGGGTTAAAATTATAAAAACAAAACAATAATTAACAGTAAATGTATTTTACATTAAAAATTTATTTCTTACCAACGGCTACAGATAACGATGCTGCTGATTTATCTGTGTCAGGATCACTAATCAATAATGCAGTTAAACCATTTTTTAAGACTAGTCCTCGATACAACCGGGAATCACCAATGGATTTTTCAATATTTTCAATTCGTTTTTCTACTTTATCAGACATTGCTAAAAAATTTCCCCTAAATAATTTATTAGAATATTTATAGTTAAAATTCCTATCATATTGCTGGTACACTTGAGCACTATACACATTACAAATCGCCACTAGCAGCAATAGCTGCAGAGACACAAACGTCCACGGACAGTGCATGGTTAGCAATGTAAACCAGCTTTGTCGACCGGGTTGGAAATCGAGAAAGGCACATTGTGTTCGTAATGACTGGCAAAATATTAAGATTTATAAATTGATAAATCAGAACCGATCGCTGCGTGCCAACAACCAAAGAGTTCTTAATCGTTAATTTAATATGAAATAATGAGTGCGCCACATTGCGCTGTAGTAACTACCTATTATAACTACCTAAAAACAAACTTACCTTAGATTAGTATTTCGTAAAGTACCGGATATTTATCCTATTAATTTAATAACGACTTATCACTGATAGACAGTATAACATACATTATATTATTATCGTTTATCATTAACAATTATGTACTGCCCAAAAAAAAAGTTAAAAATATTTTTATCTTTTTTCATCTTATCAGTTGAGTTGTAGTGATCGCTTAGGTAAGAAAGATTTTTTTCAAAATAATTTGCGAAAGGTGGCAAAACTACACAATATAATATTAAACGATTAAATAATAATAAAATTCATCAATGAAGAATTAATAATTTAATATGTAAAGTAAAAATCAACCAAACAAAGATGAATTTTACTAAAAATAATTGATAATACTTGCAGATATAAGATATGTATCTTAGAGTATTGCTCTATGATATGTATACAACAAATACAAACTAATTTAAATTGAATAAGTAGTACCAAATTTAGTAATATTAATACACTTCTTTAAAAATAATAATTGTAATTACAGGTAAAGGGGCTATTGCCCTAAACAACACATTTTAAGTGACATATGTCATTTAAAATTTCTATTTACTCTTATGTTATTTTCAGAATAAATTATTTTTTTTACAGAAAAGATTTTCTATTATAATCCAATAAACTTTTTTTTGAGAATATAAATTATACGAATAAATCGTCCTCAAAGATCTAAACTCTTAAATACGTATTTGTGATGAGAAATTATGGACATAATTAATTTTAAATAAAAAGCCTTTAATTTTCTTATTTATAACATTTACATATAATATCATGTTGATCAACATAACAACTTGTTTTATAACAAGAGACGAGCGAAAATTCAACCGTTACAAATATTTGATTATTAACAAAAAAGTCAGATTAATATTCTTTTAAAATAGCCATTATAGGAAGCTATATTCTCTCAAAAAGTTAAAAATAATTTTCTTGTATAATAAAATAACCTCAAAATCTTCTTTAAGACACGTTTTCTTATATTCAAAATATATCTTTTTAAGAATAAAAAAAAATTAATAAGATACTAAATTGTTTTTTGATTTTATTTTCCAAACTAAAAACACATTCTATTAGGTATACAGGGATCATTTAAATTTGATAGGATACTCACTTTCTTAGAAACTATTGAAAATTTGAAATTTTTGTAAAGAAAAACAACTAGATAATATTGATAAAAAAATTTTGTTCTTCAAATTTTTTTATCCAATAGGTCATTTATCCGTTACGACATATAAAGAAATTTATAGTGAGAATGGAGTGAACATCACCAGTCGAACTAACCCTGAAGGGTTAAAAAAAAATTATTTAACAATATATTATTGTAGTTTTTTAAATCATATACTTTTTCTTATAACAAAAGTGTAAGTTTCTGAGAAAATAAAAGTCTTAACAAATTTGGATCACTCTGCAGATTTTAATAAAATTAACTTGAAATAATTGTTAAATTTTTTAAGTTATTTTATATAAATGACCTTTTTTTTCTTAATAAATTTCGTGTGTAATCAATTATTACACAACAACAAAAAATACTGAAATTCTAACAAATTAATCAATTTAATTTTAAATTATTTTTTATGCAAAATATTAATTTATCATAAAATATTCTCAAACATGCAAAAAAAATGTTTGCTATTTAATTAAACGCTTCAAAATTTGTTGACATTTTTAACTCCGTTTTTCTATGAGAATCAAAAATATAAAATTCCGACCTCTAATTATCGATCACATCTATCTATAGTCATTAAAAACAATCATGGATAATTAATTTTACTGAAGTATAACCAAAATTGGCTTTTTTTTTTTTGCTAATTTTATTGTTGTAAAGCAAACCAAAAATGTATAAAATTACTCGAAGTTTTTTTCTACATAAATTACTTATTTTTCCATAATTTATTTACAATATTACTCGTAAGCCTAATTTTGTTTTATTTACATTTAATATACATATTATATTTATATGAACCCCATATATTTATATCTATAAAAAAACGAAAGAGAAAATTCTTGTAAAAAAACACAAAAATTTTTGTTGAAATATTGATAATAGTTGAATATTAATTATAAATATACATGCATACTGCTAGTGAACAAAGTTCTTTGTTATAGAAATTAGTTCATACTAAATATACTACATGTATACCAAATATTATATTAAATTTTTGCTATACTCTACAATTTTTAATAAATTTCTTAGCACCTGAATCCACTCAAAACACGTGTTTTTAATTTATAATTAATTTCCAATTTAATAAATAAAAATTTCAAGATACAAGAACAAAATTATTATCAATTAATGCAATTTTACGTCCTCCATTTTGAGGATTATGATCTGAGAACAAAACAATATAGTAGACCGTAACATTGTAAATATTTTATCCATCTTGATTTTATAGATCGTAAATATTTTCATCGTGTACTCGATTAGATTTCGAATTATTCCAAGTTTGACTAATGTGAACATGAATTAAAATGTTGGGAGCAATACGATAAAAGATTAAATTGTTTTAAATCGATATACTTATAAAGTGCAGAGAAGATAGTAATAAAAGTACCGTCAATTTGGCTAACTTGGGAAGTGTTTTAACTTGGGTCAGTAAAACATATATCATCATTATTTAATTTATTAATTAAATTTAATGTATTAATTTACAGCCTCAGTAAAATATTTACAAATATTGTTAAGAAACATAATATTTGCTCACAAAAATTAAGTCATGAAATCTATAAAATATTTAACTGTCCTAAATTGGCCAATTTGAGTGTAATAATACTGTAGAATTCAAAAGTTTTTTTAGACATTTAGTACATTTATATAAATAACATAAATCATTTATAATCAAGTTTGGCAATAAATAAATATTTTAAATAAAATTTTAGCAAAAAAAAAACTGATGGTGTATTAATTAATTAATATTAAGTTTCAATAGACAAAATGAATTGTCTAAATGTCAATAAATTTAAACTCAGCTGTAATGGAAGAGAAGAAATTTATAAATTTAATTGGCAAATATAAATTTTTACTTATTTCAGTGTTTTATGATTATCATAAAAAAATAAGTTTAATGTAATATACAGAGTGTTTAGTAAATAAGGAAACAGGTAAATTGTTACAAACAATGAAAACAATAAAAACTCGTTTCTTTACTTACTAAACACTATATATTTCTTCATAAAAAACCATCGAACATTAAATTTGAGATCGATACATATTATTACCTCTTGGTCACTCAATTATTCCCGCTCTTGTTAATACTAATAAAACATTTATTTCTACAAAAACTTTTCTCATACTTGTGGTCACACTTATATATTTTATCTTGAAATTTATATAGTAGGTAATGACTTGGTCAATTCAATCAATACTAATAATTTCCTAAACATTAATTAATAAACTTTATTCACTAGAAAAGTAATAAAATTTATAAAATGTAAAGACAACGAACGAAAAATTTATTTAAAAAAATTCATTGCTCGTAGTAATAATTTAAAAATATAATTGTGTGATTGAAACACTAATTTCGAGGTCAAATCTATGAAAATATGTTAAGACGTATTGTCATTCTTTACTTAAATGTTTTAGTTATAGATTCTACAATGACAATAAAATAAAACATTTCTGCAATTATAATTAAAACAATCAATCGATTAATTAACAAACAGATAATCAAAATTTAGATATCAATAAATATTATTGTAATAAATCAATAAATGACATCCAGCAGTAATTTTTTTTTGCACTTGATAGATTTTTATTTTATTGCACCTATTTGCTTTTTAAATTAATTTATTCTATATATTTATCAATTATTAGAATAAATGATAAAGTGAACTAAACAATTAGTCTTCCTTTAAAAAGCAGTAGAAGTAAAAATAGTCTCAGCTATTTATCGCTTTTTTAATCTTAAAAAAAAATTAATTAGTAGAAGAAAAAATTCTGCTAAAAAATTTATTTTTAAACTAATAATGTTGAATAATTTAATATTCAACGTTTATAATTTTACTACCTTAAACTTTTTTACGAAGAAAATATAATATTTTATTTTTTTCTGATTAATTATTTACATTTTTTCGTTTTGCTACACTCATAAAAATTTACTACACCCAAAGAAAAACCTCAATCAAAATTGAAAGAGAAATTTTATCAAGGGTTTATGATAATGTTTTATTAATACGAACAAAATAACTATTCTTATAAATAATTATTGTTCAAGACAAGAAAAAAAATATCATATTGATAAATATATCATTGATTCAATAGTAATGATATATTTATCAAATTGAACAATGAATTTATTATATAGATCGAGGTTTTTCTCTGGGTGTACTTTAAATAAATAAATGGTATTTTCATTTTTGAAATGAAGGTGTTAAATTATTTAATTTATGAAAAAAATGTTAACTAATTATTAATAATTTAAAATAAATAATTTATGTATTTATCAAGCGTAAATTATGAATTCGCTGATTCTCAAAATATGTTATTTTAATAAAATAATAATGATATTAAAATATGTTTATTGACTATCTGTGTTTAACAAAATACTGAGATATTAATCATTTTTAGAAAATATTATTTTATATATACGGACTAAACACCCGTCCCGGTGTATAAATGGTTAAGAAACCTCCTCCTTTGGGGAAGACCGTTATGGCCCTTAATGGGTTAATAAGAGCGTAAAAAAAAAAGAATTATTTTATATTACATATAACTAAGTTTAAATGGGCACTAAAGTGTCTAATGACATTTTTGACGATAATTTTTTTTTAAGTACACAAATATAAAATATACATATGTAATTTCACTAGCAATTTTAATTTTTAACCTAAATAAAACACAATTACACTTGGTTATGAGCACGTGATTAGTTAAAATTATAATCAGAAAATAAGTTTCGAGTGAATTTCTCTAATTTTTTAAACATTATAATTTAACTAAGACAA